ATGTACTTGACATGTTGGAACAGTCTGCCGGACTGGTAGGCCGGCATCCGAGGGTCCTAACCGCCACATAGGTACTACTGTAACAAGTATGCGCGAAGAAGCCTTTTCTAAACAAAGTTCATGCCAGACACATCAGTGATCTCTTGGAATAGTGTAAACGACTGTCGTTTGAACATCGGCGGGACAATCCAGTGTAGAGTAAGAAGTAACATGACTTTGGAAAAGTGGGGCTTGCTAGATGCGAAAAACTGGCGTGGATGTGTGTCCTAGGCGAAGACCTCAGTGTAGCATCCCGCGACGTGAGATAAGCCTTGTTTGCGTATCGCCAGTGTTTTCAGAGCCGTGATAAACGGATTAGTAGCTCCCAAACGAGGGGCTGAATGTGACGTCACGGCATCGCTCATTCTAGAATTACCTGCCGTTGCCGCGGAAGTGACACGAATCTTACGGCAGGAGCAACCTGACGAATTTGTGATCACAGAAGCCTGGTCTTACCCCGGCTGTTAACATTCTGATGCAAAACTCGTACGATTCCTTTTCAACACACCACAAGTGTCCACTGCTAGCCTAGTGGAGGCTAGCTCGGTCATCTCGGAGTTATGTCCGCGCCCATGGGGTCGCTGCCAACATCGCTGTCGCAACTCGTGCTTGATGATCTCCCGACGCCGACCTCAAGAGCGGACGACGATTACGATCCCAACAGCCTTGCATACGACCTGATCAGGTTCACACCCGCGCCGACTGTGATCTTAGACGCGTTGCTCTGTGTGCGCCATGTCTCCGATTCGTTAGTACAGCCTGTGAATAGGATCGTCTAACTCCTGCTATTTGCTGACATCTATCAGTTATGTGACTGCCTCAAACGCAAGAGATCGCGTTGATCTTGTAGGCCGACATGCCGATGACATTTTCGGCATATCCTCCACTATTCCTGCTTTTGCTCCAGCCCATGCGCTAGTAAGCGCTGCATGTCGAACTGGCAACCTCCAGCAATCGAGAGCTGTAACAGATACGGGAATCGCCTGGCATCTGAGAGCAGTCCCAATTCTGCGCCACGGGATATTGCGCTGCATCCAGATGGAATTCCTCGACATCACCGAAGAACATCAGCGACAGCTTGAGTTCAGGGAACGCTCTTATCAGAATGAAACATTCCAATTGCTGGTAGCAACCATCAAGGATTACGCGATCTTTATGCTTGACCCGACAGGGCATGTGGCCACGTGGAATGCAGGAGCCCAGGGTTTCAAGGGATACACTCCAGCCGAGATCATCGGCAAGCACTTCTCGGCCTTTTATTCGCAAGAAGACCGCGAGAATGATAAGCCATCTAGGGAATTACGAGACGCCCTCCGCGACGGAAGATGTGAAGACGAAGGCTGGCGTTTTCGCAAGGATGGATCCAGGTTCTGGGCGAATGTTGTCATCACGCCGGTGTATAGTAAGTATCTCCTCACGCACTACATATGAGACATACACTGACTTCGTTCACCTTCATCCAGAGGACGACATCCTCCTCGGCTTCTCCAAGATCACTAGAGATTTGACGGAAAGACGAAAAGCCGAGAAAAGTCTTATCGCCGCCTATGAAGAGGCATCGAAACTCAAATCGGAGTTCTTAGCCAACATGAGCCACGAGATCCGCACGCCTATGCACGGCATGCTGTCCGCTTTAACGCTACTACTGGACACCAAGCTGGACAACAATCAACAAGAGCTAGCGAATATCATCAAAGAGTCCGGGGACGTGCTTCTTCAGCTAATTGACGACTTTCTCGATTTCAGCAAGCTCGCTTCTGGTAGCTTTTCTATCAGTAACGATATTATAAGCGTAAAGGATATCATTCAATCTGTCTTTCGGGCACATCAGACGTGCCAGAGACCCGAAGTCAAGCTCGAGATCGATATGGACGACAACCTACCTAGTTCCGCTGAAGGAGACTCTCTACGTTATCGACAAGTTGTACAGAATCTCCTATCTAATGCGACAAAGTTCACCGAGCAAGGCTATGTACGAATAGTTGCGCGACTGCAAAAGGAAGACCAAGAGTACTTCACGATTCTGACTGAAGTGATAGACTCAGGCATTGGAGTGCCAGCAAGTGGCTCACAAACCCTATTTACGCCTTTCACTCAGATCGATAACTCCACGACAAAGAGATACAAGGGTACAGGATTGGGCTTGAGTATCTGCAAGTCGCTGGCTGAGCGCATGGGTGGAAGCATTGGCTTTCACCCTAATCCAGAAGGTCCGGGTAGTGTTTTTTGGTTTACCGCCAAGCTCAAAAGATGCAAGCAGCTCAAAGCTTTGGAGGTTCTACAAGAGGGTCTGGCTGGATTGAGCATCCCATCTCCCGTGGTGGCCGACCCGATGGAAACTCTCAAAATCGTCGCTCCTGACAAACGTTTGCTACTTGCGGAAGACAATATCATTAATCGAAAGGTCATGACACGCATGCTTGCTGGCATGGGGTTCAACAATGTGGACACGGCACCGGATGGTAAGGAAGCGGTCTCCAAGGCCTCTATCAACGAATATGACCTGATCCTGATGGACGTCAACATGCCTGTTCAAGACGGGCTCAGCGCTACCCAAGAGATTAGAGCAAATGGACTCCACGTTCCGATCGTAGCCATGACAGCAAATGCTCTCAAAGGCCAGGCGGAGTCGTACATCGCAAAAGGAATGACAGGGTACATCGCCAAACCTGTAGACAGGAGTTTGCTTGTCAAACTCTTGCTCGGATGTCTACAGCAAAATTCCACCAGCTGACGCAGCACGTTAACGGTAGAGATGATCTCTCAAGGGAGGGAACAAATACAATACGTATCATTCCACACAACACGACTTGCAGCAGCGTCAGTGGGCACCACTGGGCGTCGACGCCGCATTAAGACAGTTGACACAAACATTCGGAAGGCAACGATTCCCAACCTAGGAAAGACCTGAACATCCTAGAGCCTACACCGACGTTAGGCCACCTACCTTGCATGTTTCCGTGTTAATGTGGTCTGCAAACCCGTTCAGCCTTTTCCTTTGATAAGGTAGGCGTACAATCATGCCCTCGCCATTTCCGGGAAAGTCCACCTGCAGAAGTCTTGGTACACAGAATTACTATCGCATGGCCTGCAGTCTTGATCTGGCCAATGGCTTTGCGGGTACGTTACCCGACATCTGCCTGCCCTGGAAGCGGACCCACCTGCACACATCAGCACCAAACCGATGTCTATTCGAGTCGCTGGTCATTCCTCAAAAGCGGGCAAGGTTTTCGCATTGCTTTCGCATCGCTTTCGCACTGATGCGAGCGGATGCCTCATCCGCATGCACGGCGCTGTTGGGATGAATGGGGATCCCCTCTTTTGGGCTCCGGCTAGACCATCTTCACCGGCCCCAAGAGAAGCTCTGTCACACGAGATACGTTTGCGAAAAGACACTGGTTATATCGGTATCTATCACACTCTCTGGGGTCAAGACAAGGCATTGTCGTCTTTTCGGATGTCCTTCCTTCCAATCAACAGTTCCCATCCTCTCACGTTGCTTCAAGAAACTTCACGACTGGACGACCGCCAGGCCTCCAGAAGTCTCAGCTGATATCACATGATACTCCGCCTCTTTGCAATATATTTTGTGCTCCAAGTTAGTGTCCAGGCTACTCACTCTTGGTATTTTGGTGGTGGCTGAGCGTAATCGCTAACCCTTGCCGCAGCTAGCCCCACCGTTCACCTCCTACACACTGTCACAACCTCCTAGCAAATAGTGTCCACGATTATTAGAGGGCTATGCATGAGATTCTGGTAATAAGAAACCGCTAAGAAAAGAAATGCTACCTTCTCGCGTTCAATACATACCAGCGTGAGGACCTAACCCCGATAAGCAGCACAGAATAAGGCTTGGCCCTCGTAAGACTCGTCTCGGTATTGCGCACAGCCTGTAGCGAACATATAGTTCGCGATCTTGCACGCGTTTTATATGCCTAATCTGAGGGCCAGGCATATGCAGGCACATACCCGCTCGCAAGAATGTAGCTCAGCCTTGCTAACACTTCCTCAACATACATCAGCCTGAACCGATGTTACCCTAATGAAGCGGCCCCCAACGTGCCGCTTAAGAATCAATCGAGGGTCGTTCCTTTCGGTGCCACTTCTGCTATTCATGTTGTTTCGATCTCTGTGCGACGCTTTTCTTGCAGCTCAGTGAAGCAGACACCTGCTTCGTCTCTCATGGACTCGGATACTACTTAACCCATCATATTTCATTCCACTGCAGAGGCTCTCAGGCACTGCTGCTATGGATACCCCAAAGTTGATGAAGACCGCTTTGATCGAAACGCGAGAGGTCATGGATGATAGTCGCTCGACGCGGTCCAATGCGCACCTGCTACCGAAAGTACCGCCATCTCCAGCAATCAGACCGATAGCAGAACGTCAAGACTCTCGAACGTTTCCTGGTTGGAAAGGACGTCGTATTCATGCATGGAAATCTCCACTACTCATGGTTCTCTTCCTTCTTATTGGCCTGGCGATGAGTGTTGCGCATTGTATCTTTTATCCGAAGCTCAAGGGCCAGATAGTGGGAAAAGCTGATCAGCAAGAGGAAAAGATCAGGTAGTGCGCTTCCGAAGAACACATGTTACAAGGTTCACTAACAGAGCCAGGTTTGGTACTGCGTTTGCCTTCCTCGCTCAGATCTGCCTCGGTGCAAGTGTCTGGACTGCCTATACCCAGTGGCTCTGGAGGACACTAATGAAAAAGGATATGACGTTCAAGGCATTGAACTCAGCTTTTGGGGCTGATACATCAGTACTGTCTTTGCTTAACATGGAAATGTGGAAGCGGCTGAAGGTAGGATCGGTAATGGCTTGTCTGGCATGGTGAGTAGTAGACCTTGGCAAACGACCTTTTGCTAATGCATTTCAAGGGGTTTGTTGCTTCCGCCTTTCTTCACGCCTGCGACTCTGTTCATAGTCGAGGGCACCAACGTCGAGAACATCATCGCAGCCATGCCACATCCATCCATCGCAAATGCCAGCGAAGCGCATCGATATACCTACTCGCCGCCCAGTCGGCCCGGTACGACACAGTACTTTGATGACAAGAACCGGATATTTACTGGACCAAGGACCGTTATGAATCTCTTGGCTACTGCTACTTCATCCCTTGGTGAGATACTACCGCTGGATCTGCCGTTCAACAATTCCGCCTACACCGTAGATTTCTATGCTCCGGTTATCAGATGTGGCAAAGCCAATGAGACGGAAGAGCATGCTATCGACGCTTTCCTGCAAGAGGAAATGACAACAGTGGATGGCACACTCGTAGAGACGGATAATGCATACTTTAGCTTCGTGCCAACTCATAATAGCACTGGAGGCCTCACAGTAGTTTCGCATCCTCGTCAACACGTACCTTCGAAGCCAATGAACGAGCTTTGGATGACGTTTCTGCGGCCCATTATCAACGACCAAGGCGAGCGGGTCAAATTACGCCAGTACCAGATCTGTCGACCTCACAACGCGTCGTACAGTTTGGAGATCTCGCAGTATCATGGGCTACAGAACGTATCCGGCAAATACGAAGTCGGAGAAACGATCTCATTTCCAGACGAGGGTCCTGATGAGATTTCCAACATGACGCAACATGCGTATACAGCATTCATGTGGGTTATGTGCGACCAACTGGTAGGCAAGCTAGCATGGCTTAAGGACACGAGCATCTCAGACAAGCAAGCGGCAGCTCAGTACGGTGTCATCGACTCGCCCATACAGCGTACTAGTCTACTGGGCTCTGCCGACCTGGACGCATACTTTGAGTTTGACGAAGAGAAGGTGTTGTACAAAGGGCAGAATATGTCAACGGCCTTCAAGCTCAGTGATCAGAGGCTACAGGACAAAGCGATGGCGAGAAACCGGACGCTGGACGTTCTCATCGAAGAACTAAGCTTCAATTTGACGGTCAGCATGATGCATAACCGGCTCCTAACGTAAGTAAATGAGCGCTTCTCGATCGAATCGTGAGCTAATCGGTACAGCAACATGGCCAACACAACTGTCCAACTGACCACCGACGTAAATCGCTACGACTATAAAGCCTGTGGGCTTTTCATCCCATATGCCCTCGCCAACGCATTCGCCATTATCTGCGTCGTCCTCGGTTTGACATCGTACGTTCGCGATGGCGCTATGCCTGGCAAAAAGATGCAAGACTTAGTGCACGCTGCACGCAACCCTAAGTTCCATAACAGCCCCTCTCTAGGCTGTAGAACAACTAGCTTGGGTGCGAGTGTCGGCCCGGATGGAGTGGAGATGAGGATAGCAAGCGAGGATTTGGGAGAAGGGAGTAGCGATGGGAGAACTAGATCATGGGGAAGTGTAAGGTGGGGGGATGATACGGGAAGAGATGAGAATCGAGAACTGGTATGAGGCATACGACCCGTTAATTCATCAATCGGCATCCTCGTCTTCATCTTTGCCAGTCCAGACATTCAGTTCCGTGCCATTTCGTGCGCAGAGTTCGACTACTTGGTAATATTGTGCCAAAGCGCACTTGCATCAAGACCTCAGCCGACGCTGCGATCCAATCGCAAGAGATGGGCAACAAGTTTAGTAAGCCTCTGGCGACCGAGCTTCCTGCCAACCTTAAGTCTGGCAAATCACAGCGTGGTCTAGATTGAGAGCGGAAGGTCGCGGCAAGTACACATCCCGTGTCGCGTCAGCGCGATGGGCCGTCGCGTCTGCATGCATGTTGCTTAAGCGACTGCGGCCTGCGTCTTCAGAGCAATCTCTTTATGCGCACCTCACCCAAGGATAAGTGTCGTAACATGGCCGCCGTAACACTCGCTCTAGTCTCAAGAAAGTTTGCTAGTATCCGGGGGTTGACTGCCCTTCGGCGCGATGGATCGCAGTCGATGCAGACGTGGCGACAGCAGTTGTGTTGACTTGCTCTTTGTGGACTGGGTGAGCAGCCACGTGCACGGGCAAGTGCGCTATGCCAATGAACTCCGCTGTGTGGATGTCAGCTTATACATAGCCCAAGAGCGTGGCAGGAAATTGCTAATCGGAACTGGTGGCGTTGATATCAACACTGAATCTATATGTGGCGTAGACGTAGAAGTAGTGTTGACGATGCGTATGCGGTAGATGGCCAGAGAGGGCCAGAGAGGGCCAGATAAAAGATGAGAGGAGCTTTTGTTACTCCATCATCGCGTTTAAATGCGGGTTTCTGGAGTTTGAGGCAGCATGAAGAGGCTAGGATCGGAACGGAAGTTTTCTGTATAAATCGTTGTGTCAGAGTAGTCCGTCAGCTTTTCGTCAGATGCGCAAGTGACTTCCCACTACCTCATCCACCAAAACATGTACACGAGCCAAGATCAGGTCGCGGGGAGCGTCTCCGTTGGTGACGTGAACAATCCAACCAATCCGGTCCTCGGGCATGCGACAATGCAGGCGAATGCAAGATCAGATTTCGTATCACATCGTGGAATACTAAATCTTCTGACCCAGGATACGGGCAGAGAGGCATACACAAGAGGCTCGTGAATTCTCCAGACACCTCATTAAGTAATGTGTGGCGGCTTGGAAGCGTATGACCTCGAGACCATCAGTTGGTGGCGGTCGACCGACTGTTTTAAAGCTTGAAGGGGAGTTAGGTCTTACCACCAAGAGCATCATCAACGTACTGCTAGTACAGATGTTCCAAGGGAGACAGGCAGCGAAGAAGTATAAGAGACAGGCTCTTCATACCATTATCTTCTCATCATCCAGCTTTCGTCTTCCAATACAGCATCCAGCAACATCCAAAATGCAGCTCATCAACCTCATCGCCCTTGTCACCGCTCTCGCGGCCACGAGCGTCAACGCTCGTCCCAACCCCTCTACCGTCGTCGAGCGTCAGGCTCCCGGTGACGGTGTCGCTATCATCCGCTTCTACGCCGGTATGGGCTGCGAAGAGCCATGGCTCGAGGACAACGTTTTCTTCCAGAATTCTACGTGCACGGAAAACTCGTACAAGGCGCCATACGGTAGCTTCAGGGTCTATATCAATGACTTCACCAGAACCAGTATGTGACAGGAATTGGGGGGAACCAGAACCAGGCTAATGTGAGATTGCAGCTCGCTTCTACGTGAACACAGAATGTGGTGGTACCAACTACGTGGATGTCCAGCCAGGAGTGGAGCAATGCTTTTCCGGCCGGGTTGGTTCGTACAAGTCCTTGTAGTCGGGATATCGAGTGGGAGTAGTTCGTGGCGAATGGTGGGAGGGTGTTCGGTACGGTGTAGGGGAGGTTCGCAGATGGATCTGCTGAGTCGGATGGATTAGGTGTTGGTTCTCCTGTCGCTCATTAACAATCAAACCAGTTCTCCAAGCCGGCTTTCAATATTGTGACATTTGGTGTCTGATGCTTTGCCATGCAACAGAGACGATCATCATGTTCCGCTGGTAGTAGGTGGGTCTATAAATGACGTGGTATTGCCTGTATCCTGTTTGGGTATCTACTCCTTCTCCTGTAAGAAATCCACAACCGCTGGAACGTGTTAGCTAGACCAAATTTGATTCAGGCCATGTCTGCGTACCTTTGATAAACTCCTCGGGCTTCTCACTAATGACCCAATGGCCACAGTCTATGTCCACTAATTCGAACCTTGGGAAGAATCGACCAATGATTGGCAGTGTCTCGTCGCTCACGTAGTGGCTCTTGGTGCCTCGGATGAAGAGAGCTCTCTTGCTGAACGAGGCCTCCTCGGGGTTGGTGAAGGGGAAGTCGGCCATATTGTCGAGCGCCTTGGTGAGGATGCTCACAGGTATGCGAAACTTCAGCGGCGCGCCTGGCTCACCCCTCATCAGGTTCGTCAATAGAAATTGGCGAACTGGTAGGTCCTTCGCGTAGGGCTCCATGAGCTTGTCTGCCTCCTTTTGGCTCTTGGGCTGTGACCTCTCGACATGCTGCATGCCTTCTGCGTACTTGGGGAAGTCGCTTGATAGCGCCGCATCTACTGGTGCATTATCCACTGGTATGATGTTTGCGCAGCAGTCTGGGTTCCTCAGCGCCATGGTCATGACTGTCTTCGCGCCCATCGAGTGGCCTATGAGTGTCGCATTCTTCAGCTCGTGCTTCTGGAGAAAGGCCTCTACATCTTCGGCGAGGGCAGTGTAGTTGTGGACCTTATCGTGGGGGGATTCGCCGTGGTTTCGCGTGTCGATGGCGTATACGGGACGCTTGAGGACGCGTGCGAGTGCACTAGGATATTATGTCAGTCCCAATCTAGTTATGGCAGATCGGGAAGAGTCCCTACTTTCCAACACCCTGGTTGTTCCTCTTGCTCCCAAACAAGCCGTGTACGATCACAATCGGATCTCCATTGGCCTTGCCCGAGTCATCATGGAGCCGATACGCGAGGTCGACAACCCTCAGACTCGCCGACGCGTTGAATGAGCGCGTCCATGACGGCAAGGGAGTCGCATTCGATAGCCGTACGCGGTTGGCGTGTTTCGGAAGAGTGAAAGCAGCGGAGAAACGTTGTATGCTTCTCGTCAAGGCGCGCATGTTGAAAGTTTGACGCTCGTGATTTTCGGAAAGCTTCCGAACTTTTTGCTTCGCCAAGCCGAACGTCATGCCGCATCTTGCCGGCATCACCGGCCCCTAGCTTCGTCTCCCAAGCTTCATAGGTTTCATTCAGTGTCATCATTGTTCCGCAGCCTACATCGGATGCTATAGAGCTATTTTATGTTTAGCATCAACAACCAAAAAAAGTTCGATTCGTGACGCACAGCCGTGGGATGACTGGAAATTGAGACCCGGAGAGGTTCTAAAACGCAAGAGATGGGCGCAGGATCAAATCGATGCGAAGTTCACATCAACATGACCTGTGAGAAAGAAGCCAGTTTTATTGATCATGCCTATCATAGCCTCTTCTTACAGTCTCATCCCATCGTCAATTTCCACAGTCAAAGCGAACGTGCATTCCCATTTCCAGTCGTCCAGGTCACTCAATCCCCATGTTACATGGCATCTTACGAGCTTCACCCGTTCTCATCCCTCCACTAGAGACCAAGTCTTGAACTAGCAAGTCGGCAGCCCACCTGTTCGCGTCAGTACATCCGCGCGTCTCAACAAAGCATGTTTCAGCAAAATAATCACACTTACGCTCGCAGTTTTGCTGAGTCCAGCCAGCCCAGATGTAACAATTCCAAGCCGGAACATAGTCCCAGATACAGTTTGCACTTGTTACGCATCTGCCTCTCTTGGTGCAACTGACGCTGAAGCGGTCGCCACCCGTTACACCTCGGCGGCGGACACCGCTGGTAGGGCTGGTGTCGCAACCCTGAGGATCATTCTTGAGGGCATCGGAATTGAGGTAGCACACCGTAGCTCGGGGGATGAGGTTTGCGACGGCCTCTGCGGCAGGGTCGGGAGAAGTAATTGGCGTTGCGACCACGGCCAGCGGAAGGAGGGCAATGAAAGACGCGGCGAGCTTCATAGTGGTGGATATCTGTGGATTGCGGAAGTAGTGTTGGTTGGAGTACTTGGATCTTGTTGTTGAGAATTCTTTGAAGCTCAACTCTGGCCGACTTTTATATCCTTCATCTCTCGGCCTCTCGCATCCGCGAACCGAAATACGATCGCACTTCTCCGTCTTCCTCTGGGCATCCTTCCCATTTCCCCTGTATCCATATCTTACTTGCATCAAGTCGATAACTCCGAAAGTGGGATTTCTCGGATTCTTCGCATTGCGCACCATTGCGAGGAGACTTGTACTACATATAAGCTCCCACAGCTCAGCCGCCAAGTCTGGTATATTAAACCCGTCATTTTGCACCACACCGAAATGTAGGGAAGTCGATTGCGGGTTGAAAAGGTTCTCCAGGGCTTATGCAGCTACCTCAATAGTTGCAAGTAATGCGAATGTAGGCTGGGTGTAGCTGGAAAGGTTGTCAGACATAGCTACTGGTATAGGGACATGCAATGTATATGTAACACGAAGTCATAGCTAAAACCCAACAATCCGAGATGATGGGTCTCGATTGTATTGAATGAGACCAAATGCTACTAGTGGGAGAAACATCTAAAATTACAATTCGCTCGAATGAAATCTAGAATGATACATCCCCAATTACCTCAATCGTCCTTCACATGCACGACAACCTTACCCTTTGCCCTTCCTGTCTTCAGCCTCTCGTAGGCCTTCGGCACCTCAGAAAACTCCCATGTAGAGTCAATAACCGCGCGAAGCTTGCCTTGATCCATCCATGTCGCGAGCTGTTCGAACACAGCGGTACTCGCATTCCCGGCAACAAAGATGTACTCTCTCTTCCCCCAGCCCAAGAAGCTAGTCAATTTGTTGCCAAAGAATTGGACTGCGGCACTCAAGTTCATGCCAAGGCCAACCTGAACAAATTTGCCTTCTGGTCGCAGAAACGCGCTCGAAGCACGGTAGAGGTTCGCCGGTGTTCCCACATTGTCTAAGATGAGGTCGAACATGGCGCCGGTATCTTTCAGTTGATCGATGATTGGTGTTCGTGTATAGTCCAGTACCGTATCCGCTCCCAAGCTCTTGACTAACTCTATGTTCGCCGCTGAGCATGATACCGTAACGTGATAGCCGAGTATCTTGGCGATCTGTATCGCTGCGACTCCAGTTCCTCCCGAGCCACCGTTGATGAAGACTTTATTGCCGGGTTTAGCATGCGGCTTCAGTCCTGCGTATACCGTCATGCCCGTACTCGCCATGGATACGATATCATCGCCTTTCAGGCCGTGTGGTACTTTTGCCAGCAGATTCTGCGGCACGGGGACGTATTCCGCTAGAGCGCCATGTTTGCCTCCTGGAACGAGACCGCCGTATACTATGTCGCCTTCCTGGAAGCTTGTGACGCTGCTGCCGACTTTCGCGACACGGCCGTATACATCCAAGCCAGGTGTCAACCCAGAAAAGATCAGACGCGTGATGAGCCCAAGTTCGAGGATCTTGTGGTCGATAGGGTTGAGCGCTGTCGAATGGCTCTCGACGAGCACTTCGTCTTTGTTGATGGTGGGTATCGGAAGGCCTGAGGAAGGAACGGAGAGGTTCTTCTCCATAGGTCCAGATGCGGACTTGAACTGCCATCCGCGCATCGTAGCTGCCATCTCGAAGGCTGAATATTATGAGTGTAGATGAGGTGGAGTGTGAAGCGTGTGAATTAGGTTTCGATGGACAGTCAATAGTGAACTTGAGTATTGGATGCTTGTGAAGATGTGTTGATAATGCTCCTGTTCATCGCCTACCTTTCCTGCATATATACCATCTCAGGACACCACATACTCACTCTCATACCACTACATTGGAGCATTACAATATCGCGCTGGTGGCCAGGAGCGAGCAGACCGAGCTTGGTCAGCCCTACAGTTAAAACGCGATGGCCGAGCAGGAGGGACATGAGATTGCGATGGCTGTTCCTCAGCCTTGTAAGATCGCAGTTCGGGTGTTCGCAAGACCGAGGGGAAGCTCACGTAAGTCTTTTGGTGAGTAATCGTAGGCGCTAGCCGGGATGGGTTAGAGGCGGGCGAATGCGGGGCTGGGGTCTGTCTGATGAAGTACCAAGTCAAGGAAAGGCAAAGCGAGGTAGCTATCTTTCTGGATGATTGTTCGACATTGTAAATAGATGCGCAATGTATTTTCCTGGATGAAAGCATGATGGGTGCCGTTGTTGGTAGTGATGGATATGCGGCGTCCAATCGCTACAACGGCTGGCACTGCCCGCCACCTGTGCAACCCTACAAGGGTGAGCAGGCCTCATGAATTCCATCCAGCCTTCTACAACAGTTCCTCCTCGTCTAACCTTCACCCATAGTCATGCAAGACGACCGAGCACTAACATTTCGCCAGATTCACGGAAAGAAAGAAGCGCTCCTCTCCGCAGTCAAGAACATCGAGCGCATCGCACTTGTCCCAAGCTATGAATTAGGGCCACTCCGTCTTCGGTTCCTGGAGCCTTACCCTCCAGGTGGAACGGAGTTTGATTACATCCTCACCCCCGTTCGCGAAATTCGATTAGCCGACCTGAACAGTTACGAATACATCACGGTATCTTACGTATGGACTCACTCGCAGCCTATCGATGGGATTGAACTCCCGGAATATCGTGTCTGGGACGGCGCCGACTTACAAAAGCATCCTAGACTCCTCAGGTGCCCGCCAATCGTATTTCATCGTGTCGTGCGGTATACGAAAGCTGAAAAGCTCGAGCGAATCTGGATAGATCAGGAGTGCATTGATCAAACCGATTCCAATGACGTGGAGAAACATTTGCAGGACATGCATCGGATATATCGCTTCAGTGCATTTACCGTGGCTATACTCTCCAAGGTTTCAGGTAGTTGGATATTTTCGCGGGATTGTTTCCTCGGTGATAGTTTATCTGACGATGAAATGCAAACCACCGAAGAAACGCTGCGGAAGATGGTTGAGGACCCATGGTTCACTAGATCCTGGTGAGCTCTCTTCGAGAATGATTCGAGCCGTGACTAATAGTACGACTTCATACTAGGACGTTCCACGAGCAATACTGCGCCGCAAACATCGTGTATCTTCTGCCTAGGCCACCGTTGCGTCATTATACCTTGAGCTCACCACCTGGTTTCATGGAAAGTTCAATATCAACACTCGAAAAGGATTTCGTTCTACATGGAACTCAGCCGATGTTGTTTCTCGACTTATGCGAATATATTAAGAGAGATAATTCAGCACTCAAGTCATTCTTCCTGAGGCATGGCCACGACGGCTTGGCATCTGGAAACATACCTAATGCTATTGAGACTGTGCAAAAGAAGATAGAGAAAAGGGGAAACCAGATTCTCTCTGATCGTATCCAGATCATAGCAAATGTGTGCGGGCTGGGATGGAAGTTGGAGACAACATCACTCAATACGCCAGCGCAAAGCTATAGCACTTGTTTGTTGGCCCTAGCAATGGCGAACAGATGGCCAAATACCACCGAGCGCGCGCTCCAATACCAGGCTTTTGCAGATGCTTTTATGGAAGGAGATGTTGAAGTTGCCCTGGAATCATTGAAGGTTGTGCAACCACCGATTTCCGAGTTTTTACAACTTTTTGCTTCCTGACGAACTTCAAATGGAATCTATGGAGATCAAAATGATGATCCATCAATACGGCAACGTAACGATGATCAAGATCATGTGTGCAACGATTTCATGATCTTAGGTATCGTTGAGGTAGCATATACTGTAGTCTTAATTCAAGCGCCTGTTACCCTCATAGCGTAATCGAACGAGCCAAGAATGTGAGAGGGTTGGTATATGAACTCCATAACATCGCATACGAATTGCGCCCTCAGCCTCCAATTACATCCACCATGTATCATTCCACTTGAGGAAACACCATCCGTCGAGAACACTCCAATACTCCTGGAAACCAACAAATCAAGACTTCTTTCCAATCACTCCAGCTAGCGCGCCTTCGGCGGCTTTCTTGAGCAACTCCCGATCCTCATCGCTCATGTGATCCACCTTCTCGACGAGCAGCTTCTTCAAGAACATGTTCTCCTTCTTGAGCCCATCGTTTTCGGCTTCAAGCTTCTTGGTCCGGTCTTGCATCCTTTGACTCGTCTCCATGAGCTGCTGCTCGCGCTGCTTCTTCTTCTGCCGGAAGCGTGCGGAAGCAGCTTGATTGCGTTTTCGCTTGTCTTCTTCTGCTTCGACAACAACCGGATCAGTGAGGAGACTTGCATTGGTGCGTTCGGGTGATGTGGCTGATGATGTGGATGTTGCGATGCTGTCGGGGTATGGCGTGCGATAAGCGTTGATGTTGAAGCTTTGTGTAACGGGAGAGAATCCCTGGAGATCATCAAAGCCGATCTGAAGCGCATTGTCGTGCTCGTAGTGTTGCGGGATGTGTCCTGTCATAGTCGGCATTGCAGGCGCCTCGGAGGTGTACGGTAGGCCTTAGAATGACGTTAGTGACCATTGTCTGAGGCAAACGAAAAAACAGCCCAGAAGATGCGGTGAACGCTGGGTATTTCATCGATCGAACGATTGACGCAGCAATATGCGTCTGTGCACAGCTTGCATACACACCTCCCTAGGCAGGTATGCAACTGTCGCAAGTCCCGTCGCCGCGTTCGATCACGTGCAGCTAGCGAGAGCACGCCATCCCATCCCGAACAAACGTCATCCAGGCCTGGCAACTCAGAGGCACAGGAATGACGTCCATACGTAGGCAAAGGGCCTAATGGGAAGGACAAAGAATTCGTTGGGGATGATGTACATGAAGTTGATGGGATGGAGATAAATAGAGGGGTTGCGCTTACCTGGTGCCGACACACCACTGCTGTGCAATGCATACGCAAATTGCTGGGTTTGCGCGATGACATCCTGAGACTGTATGTGCAGTGAGTGTAGGTGTTGTCCGCTGGGGTCATATTCGTGGTTGTGATGGAGATTGGCGGCGTCGAGGATATCGAAGAGATCACGTCCAGAGGAATTCCCATTCGCATGTACGTCGGTGAAGGTCGGCTGCCCAAAAGCTTGCTGAAGATAAGTTTCCGACATTACTCTCCATCGGCAACATGCGTTCTCGCGCAATCGCGTCTTTTCCTTTTGTCGTTCGTTTTCTGATCGTCGGCCTCAGGGTCGGGGGAATGTTGTTGAGCTTCGCGCTGGCCTTTTGAGGGGGTTGAGGGTTGACGTTCGCTCCCTGCAGGCGCGATGGTGTGCCACCCTATGAGAATCACACAAATGCCCACCGGCATGCGCTTATGGGCAGCGCACCCCACTGCCACAATTGCCTTTTTGGCGGCCATGGGAAATGGCGATCGCGTCGGATTGCGCCATATTTCTCATACGACTGTCAACGTCCTCCACGCTTTTACCTAAATTGCGCCGTCAAACAGCGTCAAAGTTCCAGCGCGCAGTGTTCCCGTGTCTTGCTCGCATGTTCGTAATCGCAAATACCCGCGCTTGGGTGGGGCAGTATCTGCATGAGGCGTCCATGGGTCGCAGTGAGCTCGCGGCAATGCTGAGCCGGAGGCACTGGGCAAAGTCCATTTTCCCAAAACCCACTTTGTGCTGTCTCGTCCATGCATCGTGACCGATTGTTTTGTGAGCGCAACCTCTACTCCTCTCCAAATAACTCTTGTCTTGTTGTATGTCTGAGACATGTAATGGGCGTGTCAGTAGTGATCGTAACGTTGTGTAGAGTGAGTCGTCGATACACAATGTCTACACACTCCGCGGAGTAGGGATATAAATCAGTACTTCCAGGTACACGGCATGGACACCGGACGCCTATACCAATAGAATATACTAGGAAACCAATCCCGACATGAAGACCCGAACACACTATGCAACACTTGGGCTGGCCTCGAACGCAACACCGGAAGTCATACGTGCAGCGTACAAAGCCCTGACGCTGATGTACTTTGATCAGCTCCCGGAGATGACCGGTGCTGAGGGCGTCGCGCGTGCTGCTGTGCTTGAAGAAGTTCAAGAGGCGTTTGCTGTCTTAGACGACCAGAGCCAGAAAGCTGTCTACGACGCTGAGCTTGCAGGGAAGGATGACGAGGTCATTGACGAAGCGTCTGCCTTTCACCATCCTCCTCAGTCTACAATGGAAGATTGTACGACAGCGCCTACGATAGAAGAGCAGAAAAACTCGATGCGCGCTCGGGTACATGAGCAAGTTAAATACTGGCGAGGGCTGCGCGAGAGACGTCATGAGGCTGAGGCGCGTCTGAGTGTAGCAGAGCTCAAGAGCCTGGTGGAGATCTGGGAAGAAGCCGAGCTCGAGAACGCAGCCGATCCTGTGATGAAGGCTCAATGTGCCATCCTCACTTACGAATACGTGGATGAGCTGAAGTCTCGTGAGCAAGAGTATGAAGAGCGGCCAGCTGACGCTCCAACACCCAGGCGTACAACGGAGATGCCCACAACGCCAGTCGCGATGAAACATCGTCCGAAGACACCATGTGCGCCCACAAAGTCAATTGCTCCTGCACGAATATCGTCGTCGAGTAAGTCAGACGTTGCTGCCCAAAAACCCCGTTTTGATGCATCGCCGACACCTGCACCATGCTGTCGTATGGGCGCGCGCGCCGCCGAGCATAAACGGGCCGAAGAAAAGCGGGTCGAAGCAACCAAGGGTGGAGCCGAAGCCCGCAAGGAACGGAAGGCGCAGATTGAGGCGGCCAGGCAAGCCGCACTTGACAAAAAGACGGCGGCTGCTCGTGCCTTCAAAGCGGAGCAGAAAGCGGCAGCTGACGAACGGGCTCATGCGAAGGCTGAGCACATCGCAAAAGCTCGAGCCAAGGTCCGCGGACGACCAGTTGACATCAATGATGCTACTGGTGATTTTGTCGCTTCTGGAGAACAAGAGGATATGTTGTCGCATGGGGTTGATGCCTCCGATGAGGGTATGTCGGAAGACTTCAAGCTACAAGCGGACAAACGTTCCGACGCATGTGGCACGGAACATAGTGACCTCTGTTAGTGAGGAGATTGCAGTACGCGGGTGATTGCGTAGGATGGAGATGCATCAAAGCACGCTCATAGAGCGTGTTTGGTACTGGCTATACTGTGTAGCGCGTGGTGACACGTATGCCATGGACATGATTCTCCCATCCTCTTCTCTGATTCTTAGATTAGTCAATGCAAATATCACTGAAACAAACCAGCTCACCTTCGCTCTTGCCCATACGCATATCCAATCGCCATCTTGTAGAGAGTCAATGAAGTTCTCGCCACGTCCAGAGCCTTCGTTGCCTTCCCATGTTGGATTTTCTCTACATCCCCAGACAACGCGATATCGCCGAATGAAGTCTCCATCAAAGACAGACGTAGCTCTTGCGACCTCGTTGCCCTGTAGGTACCAAGCGTGTTGACCTTCAAGACCCATCGGGCGTGACTGGTCGTCATGCAGAAACGTCATAGCCTGCATTTCGTCGCAGTGTAACCTCTGTGGCTCCGTATTCGATGGAGAGCGGCGTACGTTGCTGAAGCCCATGTCACCGCATATGTTGTCTATGGCGCTGTGGATGTTGCTTTGGGGGTACATATTGTCCTCGAAGTTCTCTGCGACGACTTCATCTTCCATGTCGCTGGGCGGAGACTGCGGGCGCACGATAGAGACCTCAAACCATGAAGAGGTTTCGTATGTACCAGTCGTACCTTCTGTTGTCCAGCCCTGGTCGTGGCTGACAATCAAAAACTCTATCTCTTTGAGTCTGGGCGTTTCGTGATGCGCGGTTTCGGACTTGTCAAAGATTATCCTCATGAGGGGAGACGCAGCGGAGAAGTTGTCGGAGAACTCTTCGTCCAAAATCACGAGAGTCCTGTCATTTTCGTGGACGTGCTCGACCCAGTAACGAGCCCTGTCCAGAATGTCGAGGATGAGTTCGTTGGGAAGTCCTAGGCGGTGATGGAGGAGGGCACGGGTGCGATGAACATCACGGCGACGGGGCACGAAGGGTCTCATAGAGCTGCTTTAGTATTTGGCGCTTTCGGTCGGTCGCAGCGCAGAAGAATCAGGGTTGAGAGGTTAAAGAGGGTCGCTGTGGCATGTGTGCGAAGACACCCAATGGCAGGAGGGCTAGTGGAGAAACAGGCTTAGTGTCGCCCGCACCATCCCCCCGACGAGCCGAGAGTTACCACGGATCGGCACACGCATGACAACTGGCATTCGGCCCTGCTGCCCATGTTTAGCTGGATCCTTATTCTAACCTCAGTGGAAATGCGAGAGACTGCAGTATTGTATGGCATTGCCGCTGTTGGTGTGGCAGGCATGCAGCGTCTAGCAGAGCTACGGTGACTCACCGCAGGAAGCTCCTCGACAACCATCCCGGAATATTCGTCCACACTTCAGAGCATGTGCACGCGTTCTTCTACGTCAATTTCTCGAAATGTCTTGCATCAAATCCCCCGTTCATGTCAAAATGTCATACTGTTATCGGCGCGACAACAGGGTAGGTTGGGGAATGAGTCAGTCTGTTCCTTTCACTTGCAGATCATCTTAGTAGACTGTGCTCACTCGACTTATTGCGCAAAGCACTCTCAACGCAGCACCATCGGCTCAGGAGTTTCTACTCCGTCGCGCTTGTGTTATGGAACGTCTCTTAAACCGCGAAGCATCCGCTCAAGATCTCGCTAATACAACCGCGACTCTCAGTGTCACAAGTAGGTGCCTTCGTGCAGTGACTAACACTCCAGAGCTTGTGAACAGTGAAAGGTTCAGACGAATCCGACTGAACTAGGTTCCTAATCTTTCATTGCTCCTCGATTAGCTTCTAGAAAGAGAAAGCACTGCCCTCCAATCGATTCAACTTACTGTTCACGAGCTTCGCTAGAACAACCCACGTCATTCAAGGCTTTTCCTACAAGGTACAATCTCGTGCAATCACACCACTGCATATTCTGTAGTTTCTCGACCTCACCACTTGCTCCACCACCAAGTCGAGGAAGAATCACCGCAATGTCCTCAACCAACACCGAAGAACGTACCCGTAAGCTCTGGCAAGACAAGCAGCGTCAAGAGCACGCGAAGATGCGTCTCTGCGATGACCTGCAGCGCGAGGCCGTGACCTACAACAACAAGGCCCTCCACTATCGGCAAGAGCGAGATTTCTTCCAATCAGTTCGAAATGGCGTCCGTAGGCAGGAGGCTCAACTTTCGCTTGTATGTACTTTGAGCAACGACACCCCATCTTCCCTCTCAGGTACCCATTATCCCGAGTTGGCAATTCGCTAATGAGCGATTGCAGGAACAATGGTCAGCGCATGCGGTCGGCAAACACTACGACCTTGGGAGGCAGATCCAAAAGCTTGTCGTCATCACCGCGGCCCGCAAGAAGCTTCAAGAACAGCTCGGGATGCCTGCTACTGAGGATGGATATGTTGACTGCGGTAAGCATGCTGGAATCGGGTCAGTTTCGCACTATTAATATATTCAAGACGTTTCGCTAATGTATGAGTAGTACGTCATTTCTTCGTTCGCACATGTCAGTAATCTAGATTGGGAAATCGGCAACAGCGCGCTACAGCCTTCATATATGAAAGCTCTTAAAGCAGCGTCCGGGATGGCGCACTCGACAACGTCCTGTTTTCGCTGACATCTCAATAGGCAATCGATACCTGCTGCTCAATCACGAGCTAGATTCGACGACTAGCGTTCGACACTATATGGACGAGAACATGGGCGGATCTTCTCTGTTCGCGAACGAGGAGTGGCGGTCGTAGACATCATTGGGCTATACCGCTGGGCAACTTCGGTTGACTGTAGCTTCGTCTTGTGTGTGCTCGTCGAGGTGTTACAGGCGCCATATCCAGAGATGACGGGCAACTACCGGAGGGAGGAGTGAGCTGCTTTATTACTTGTAGTGATGGGCATCAAACTTGTAGGACGAGATTGTAATGAGCATTGTGGACATCAAATGAGTAACGGTGCAAGGGTGTTGTGTTAGAAAAAGACTGTAAAACTAAATTGGTAGACTCATTGCAATTAGCATCACCTTGAATATTTACATATGCTACGAAGTAGTGACGATGGTTCTGTTGGGTTTCAAATCTACAAGACGTCAAATGACCATTTATATCCTCCTTCCTATCGCCCGTGGCCCCTGAAAACATTAACATTATACCGCCTCTACATTGTAAGAGAAGCTCTGTAGGCCTGTTTGCCCATGTATGGTCACCAGCATTTGGTACTTCTCGTCCACGAAACGCCTTTCCCCAACGACACGAGAAGATGTGAAAATGGACAAGGAAGTTGTCGGCTTGGGAAGTAAAGCGACGTGGAAGATCGAACAAAGGAGGGAAGCAAATAGATGATGAGAAGATGAAGAGTCGCAGCCGGGCGTAAATCATGATTTTGTGATGTGAGGCTGTCGTTGCCAAAACAGAAGCGGCTTCAGGAGCATAGCTTAGATTCAGTTACAAAAGAGATGCGTGCTTCATGCAGGGGTTCATTTGCGCCTCCTCCGGAGGTGAACGGGAGTTTGAAGTCCAATAGTAGCTGTACAGGGCGTAATGACCTACAAATTGGAAAGACGCTCTCGCAGGCCCTTTGCATCTTCGTTTCGTCGTGCGACCCGTCGCAGATGCAAAATACTTCTGTAACGGATGTGTGAGGGTCTGACGAGTACAGTCGAAATGTCATAGCGTCGGGTCGCATTGACAAAGCCTCTATCAGGACGCAACTCCCTCTCGCTACCCCGCCACACACCCGCACCACCACGTTCCGATTTGACCAAGACTTCAGAATCTTGTTGAGGATATCTCTCCGAACTCCATAGTAAGTCTTTTTGCGCGAGCGAAAGCGTGCTTTTCGACCCGCGACTGACACCTTTTGCTGCCCTACAGACCACCGTCCCCACAAGCACCCCGCGACCGGACACGAAGCCGATACTCGTACATTCGAGCTAGGCATGCCCGCGCCAGAGATGAAGAGGTCGGAGGAGGCGACAAGGAGGCACTTGGCCGATACACGCAGAGATGAGGTGGCGAAGATGGTCATCTGCGAAGGTATACAGCGCGAGGTCGTAGCTCTCGACAGCAAGGCCAAGTACTGGGGAGAGCGCGCCGCCCACTACCAGGCCTGGGGAGATCGGCGAAGACAGAGGCTTCATGCTCGGACTGCCTTGAATCTTCAAGTAAGTCGGGATTCGAAGGCACATCCGCCCAGCCTAGAAAATCGTGGCTAACCAATCCTCTGCAACAGGAAGTTTTCGACAAGAGCGCTGCGGACCGCGACGAGGTTCTCGAACTCGAGATCAACATCCTCCTATGTTTGACCCGCCTCCGCAAGCTAATTCAACGAAAGCTCCGCATGGCGCCAACGCGGGTCGACTACCTCTACAACGGCAACACCTCAAACCGGGGCGAGCGCTTCGTACTCCTCGACCCGGAGGTGGACTCCGCTACAAGTGTCCAGAACTACATGGACACTCGCATGGCCGGATCATCGTTGTTCGCGAACGAGCTGTAGCTCCCATTGGCCTTGGCTTGATATAGGGGCGGAAGACTCAAGGGGGATTGACGCGACAGCCCATACTGGCACCATTGGCAGTACCCTCGCGCCCGATAGCTCGCTCGATACTAGACCTGGGCATAGACGGGGTGATACACGGCGTAATGGATAGCTCTTAGTACCTAGACAACGGCGCCGCGGCGCAAGACCGTATCGGACATAGGTAGATGGAGCAAGAAAGATACATGAATAGAAAGGGAGTCCATACCTACCTTCGCAGCTATGCAGGAGTATCCACACCATGGAAGTTTGAGGCATATAAACGTCATGCTGAACCGTGAGGCCTACGTGCTGCCTGTGTCTTTGTGCTGCGCATGCCGTCAGGTATCCTCGAGGCCCTCAAGGCGAATGTTGTAGCGGCCAGGTGCGGTCTGGCGCTTCTGAAGTCGATCAGGCAGTGCGTATCGCTGTCATCTCGCGTGATACTCTATAGAACGTGGCCATAGAACTCCAATAGTACTTCCCGAGTGCGAGCATATAGCAATTATGCCAATGCTGCGGCTGGAGGACATTAACCCGCTGTCGCGTCCTGGCCTAAGCCATCCGCGCTCGAGTCCTTCAGCTGGCATGTCATGTCCACGCCGACAAGCGCAGACTTGCTGTCAAAGCAGCTTACCTTGAAGCAACGTAGCTAGCTGCGCCTCTTCTAAGTCTATAGTCTAGATGCAAAAGGGCAGAGTCCAAGTATACGTCCTTCGCAAACGAAGTTGCTGCTGTTGCTGCTGTTGCTGCTGCAGAAGCGAAGACTCGGAAGAGCGGGCGTGCTGAACCAACCCGCCTCGTCTCTCGAGGAAAGCATAAAAGAGGAGCTTTAAACAAGCAAAAAAGGCTGCACCTGCCTCTAAATAGATATCACATCTTACCTTAGCAGTGGAATAGTAATTAGATAAAAGACAAGGCTGCACTAGCCTCTAGTCGCACTACGCTCAGCTAAAGCTTTCGCGGTAAAAAAGATAACAAAAAAGAGCAAAAATTACGGACTTTCAACCGCGGGAACTCCACCACCTATTTTCGAACCTGGTGATACACAAGTTAGTAACTTGTTTTCTGTCAAGGCCTCATCGGCCAGGGTACGACGTTGGGTCACCATCCCAACGCCGTACGAGATATTGGCAAGATTAGAGCAATTATATAGCCAAAGGACTTCGAGGTTGCTATGGTGGCCTTTGTTGATTTTCGAGGCGCGAAGGGGCTCGTGCCTGTGCGGGGATTACGCGGGGCGGGGCAGCGGCGGCGAGCGCAGAGACTGCTTCACATCGCCCACGGCGGCGAGGAGACAGGGGTCTGCCAGTGAGACGAAGCTCCGCTTAGGCGTGAGCTGCTGCTCGTCGCGTTGAGCTCGCCCCCGTAGCCTGAGTTGCACGTTCTGGAGCGTGTGTGACATCTCAGGCCATGTAGACAACCAGCCATGACATGTACGTCGAGCCTGGTAGGATCAGGGTAGCCTCGATGGCGCACATCTCCTGAAGCATTGAAGACTCTTTTACATCGTGGTGTTTGCGCTGCATGCCGGTCCGGTCTGACGTCGCTCATGTGTGGCAGCGGATGTCCGCACACCCACGTCTGCACCCACGCCTGCACCCACGCCTGTACCCACAGCATGCATTCGTTCAGCATTGCGCACTGGCAGGGAAACGCGCAACTGCAATCATGCAGTGCAAGTACGCTCGATAGTCGTGAATGCATTCGATGCGCCTTTGTGGTGGTACCCGGACCAAGTTGAGACGGGTTATAAGTGAAGTTGGCCACACGCAGCAGCATCCTGTTGTTGTTTACCTCGCCTCGAGTTCGTGATGTCGCGCATTACTCGTTGGCAGTATGTGATACCGCTGTTGATAGTCTTTGACCCTTGAGCGAGGCTTCGACAATGCCCGAGCCCATGTCCGCAGTCGTAAGTTTCGAAATCTTGATACATGATGAGCTATGCCTTCTCTTGACCCAGTATATCCGTGTAGCGGCAGGCTGGTAACCAAGTTCGATACATCAAGCCGTGAGTTGTGAAAGTGTATAGCATAGCCCCATTCTGCATACATGGCGAGGTAATACCTGAAGCGCAGGTGTTGGAGTCGAGATTCCGGACGAGTCAGGCTTGGCTGCCTCCAAGCTGAAGAGGACAGAGTAAGGACGGGATCGAGGTGAGTCCTGAAGTATCGAACAGCAGGGTTCTGTTAAGAATTGATCTCTTGCTGAGGCGAGACGGATACGATATGTGGTCCTTTAAGGTGAGAGTCTCTCTCACCCCTGAACATGGCGAAAGTCAATCCGACGGATGAGGGAAGATAACCTGTCGAAGAGCTTTCGAAACGATTCGGATGAAGCGCATACTTTTGAAATGATGTATACTAAGACAAAAAGTCGAAGGGCGTTGATTTGGAGCACAGCCAGTCATACTTCGAGACGCTGTTCCGTGATAATGGCGGACTTGGAAGAGCCGCCCCATGATGCGTGGCCGATCAAACCACCTTCATGAGGGCTTCTTGTCGAGCCAGCCCCTGAAGTAGCTAATCCTCACATATTCCGCTGGGAGACGCCGTTGCGCAACGAACATCCTCTTCTTGGAAACATGAGACGATGCAAAGAAGGCCAGTAAGGGATCTCCGTGTCGAATAGCGTAAAGTGAAATGCACTTCGATGCGCGTGCCACTCGATACCAATGTGTCAAAGCCGCAGATTGGTCAGCAGCCCATATGTTCGTTGCTCAAATGTCGGAAGTTCGCTGATGTCTTTGGCCATCTACTCACATCGTTCAAGAACGACCCGTTGCAAGACATTCGTTGTCGTAAATCATGTCCCCGCTATGCACCTCATCGCGGTTCTGGAGACAAGAACTCGACGAACAGCAGACTTGCGTTACCTTCAGGTAACTCCTGACAAGCCCAGATTGTGTGGCAGATTCATAACCGCCGAAGTCCGTACGAAGACCGATGAATAGGGGCCTTGGTATCAAGATCATGTCCAGTTGCAGCGGTGCGGCGTTGCGGCGTTGCGATCAGACAAGGTTGGTCCTTCGAGCTCCTCCGGCGGATATGACCATTCTTTAGCAGTCACAAAATCTAAACGAAAATCGACATGCTGCCGCTTGCTTCCAGATGCTGACTCCAGTCTGGAACTTGAGGGTCTTGCAAGAAGTCCGCGATGATGTCTCACACGCGGAGATGCTCGGAAGTCCGCTGTCGAGCAGCCATGTAACATCTACAACAGATGCCAGCTCCTCTAACTTCGCTTCCCTCTAGAATGGCGGACAATCAAGCATGCGCATCGAAAGTGGCTTCAAGACCAGTATGCGTTATGATAAGCTGAAAGATAGCGCATACATGTCACCTGCTAGACCAT